TTTGGAAAAAATTTTTTTTCTATAGTTAATTGTTCTTCAATACGTAATGTTAATGTTGATATACGTTTTAAATAATTATCAATTAATTCATTATTTACAATAGATATTGATGAATGTTCAATGAGATGAAATATACCTTCACGTTGTTCATCTAAACGTCGATGTTTTATTGAACCCCAATAATACCATGAAGAATTTTTATGATTATTATTATTATTATTATTGTTTGATAGAAATAATTGATAATTATCAATATTTGTATCAATTAAACGTTTACATAATGATGATTTACCAGATAAAGGATGTATGCTCACTACAGATAGACAATATATTGGTGGTAATAATGACATGATAAATTATCCATTCAAAAACATTAAGAAAAATAAATCTAAAAAAAAAAAAGATAACTGAATTTATATAATTATTTTTAGTTTAAGATTTTCTTGTTTAAATAAAAGCCTTAAGGGTATACTTTAAAAATCAAAATATTTGTATATATAAAATAGAAATAAGAGAAATAGAATGTGTATGAACGTTGAGAAGAAATATTATTATATGTTGAGTAAAAGTACTCTAAGAAAAATACAAGAAATGAATGAAAGAACTTTTCTTTTTTTGACATTATCACATACGCTTCAAATACAAGTGGAAAAAAAACAAATTGTTGACATCTTCGAAAGAGATAAGAATATTTATTGGTTTAAATGTATAATCCAATAAGATAAAGTATAGAAAAAGATGGCGTTAGTTATGTCAAAAAGACAAAAAAAAAAAAATTTGCAATCAGAGTTACGTTATTATTCTTTCACAAGAAAGATTTATTTCTCATATGATTTTAGAAAAATTGATTCCTTGACATATTTTTACTTTAATCACATGTTCACATTGATTGGCATGATTGACACAGATAGATAGTACTATGTGAGGTTGAGGACGCTAAGTCCCAAGTGGAGATCATATTCCGATTCCTGTTTCATCAATATGAGCGATTCAATAACAATCACTGATATTAATATTTTTTTTTCTTAAGAACAAAAACAAACAAATGAATGATTGAATAGTAAAGTAGCTGATTTGCTTTTCAAGTAGGCTAGATATATCCTAGTGAATGTACTTTATCCTGCTACTAGTATGTCACAGGGACCTTTCGGTAGTTTAATAGGTTTTTAGCACTGGATTATAATATGTTTCTCAATGTTCAATTTACTAATTTGTTGACAAATTTTTCATAGAACATTATTCACCCAGCACCCACATTATAGATATGCAAATGGTGCTTTATTCAATATAGTTTCAAGTAAAAATCATGCCATAATGAAACTTGGAAAGAATGAACCGGCGTATCTGATCATTTCAGATAAAATGTATTGGTTGATTAAACCCCAAAATACTCTTTTTGAGATTCTGGTATTTATTAAGAGCATCAATGGTTGTGTCCTCGAGGCTATTAATCATTCGAACGAAAGTATCGTGTTCAGAATGGTGAATATCCGTTTTATTTGTTATCAACTAAGATTTCAATTCAGTAAAAATAATTTTTTTTTTATTTGATTAATATTATAAAACAGAGTATAATCAATATTGAACCTAAGACCGCTTTATTGTCAATATCTATTGAATCATGTGTATAAAAAAAAAATATGTTGAACTATAAATGAAAAAGGTATTAAAACTTTCAATGGGAACAAATGGAATAAACTAATTGTTTGATAGGACTAGCTGGTTTATCGCATCCAATCCCAATTCATAGGACATACTCTTGGTATAAATCTCTTTCAAATTACTATACAATTCACATAAATCCCATTTGGTTTTTTTTTTCAAAAGCATAATTTCGAATGCAGGGTATTCAAACTGTATTGAATTGTAACGAATACGATAAGAAATTCATCGAAAATCATTAAGATCTGTTTGAATCTATTGGCGTCTGCCAAGATTCATGTTATTCTATTTCTCTTTACTGTTAGCTACTGATGAGTCTAATTAGTTTTCTCAAATTGTTAACTTCCATCTATCGATTTTCTCTAAATCAAAACTTATATAAAATTATATTCGACATGGATTAAAATCGGAAATAGTAAAGATTCTTTTTCATCATAGGATTTTATTCAAAAAATTAACAGTTATGATGCAAGAGTTCTATAAAAATTTAAACAAGTTATCAGCACACAGCACTTCATAAGAATTACTTTTATTTTTTATTGGGTATACCACCTCGATTTAAATATTGAAACTTTGTATCTGAAAAAACTACAACAAGAAGAGAAGAAACGAGATTATTTTTTTTTTATTGATCAAAGAGACTAGTTAAGAGAGTATACTAAATCATATTACTCACCATTGATTTAAAGTGTCTTAAGCTCATATTTCATTAGACAGAACTTGTATTCTTTTTTATGAGAAAAAAGACGGAATCTCATTGGTCATAAACTTTGTCGCATTTCATTACATCCAGAGTCCTGAAACATGTTATCAATTTGTCAATAAATCTCTTTACTTCGATAATAACAATAAATTGCATATCTACAGATGTACATCGGCAAATACTAACAGTGTTAGTATTTGTCAACAAATTCTTGATGTACTTCCTACTTGAAGTTTTGTTGAAATTCATACACTAAAAATCACTTCTGATATGGTTTTCTTTCAAATGATCAAATACTTATTGCTAATGAAATGAATTAGTTGATCTTTATGTGAAAAAAATCATTTAGTTATCATTATTATGAAATGTCTAAAACTATTGACGATTAATTTACATAAACTTTGAAACATCAGAGTGAAGAATTATTATAATTGGCTATAGAAATTGAGATTATTAATAAATAATTTTCTTGTGAACTGTTAATATCACAATTCAGCATAAGATATAATGAATCTGTTGAATTATTTTTTGTTCGAAAATGATTTATTACTAAATAATTTAGCTTTTGAATATTAAGAATATAGTAAAATTACTAGATAAAGCTGCAATTCAAATAATTTCTAATGATGCATGAAAATCTGTTTTGACTCAGCTTGTCAAAACTAATTTAAAATTACTGGCATTGTAAGTCTTTTTCTCTAACGTTAACTTTATTTAGTATTACATAGCTTTTTATTTTCATGATGAATATTGATTAATCAGAATCTAGCTAGATCATTGTATCTACATGATTCAAAATAATTGAATTTCATATGATATCATCAAAGATTTTAATTTATGAATCAAAACAACGTTATTCTATTCTTTTAATTAAATTTTCAAAACTATTAATCAATGACATTCGACGTGACAAAATTGAAAATTCTATTCAAAAAAAATAAACATTGAAAAATAATTTTACATCTAATTTTCATTTCAACCGAGCAACTCTGTCAACAAGACATGAAGATCAACATTCCTACGAAATACTTTTAAATTATATATTAGTAATTAAGTATTTTTGAAAACTTATAACAGTCTATATTAATATTTTTCTTAGTTTTTTAATTATGTTGAAGCCATAACATCTGAAATCTTACGATTATGAAGTATTGTATTGATTTAATCATTTACTAAAATTAAGAAAGATTTGACGTTGTCACACACACACACAAGAATAATAATGACTGAATTCATTTAAACACTAATCTTATTTACTTGATAGTATTTTGATATGTATTTCAGACCTTTATAAAAAAAAAAAAAAAAAATTTAAACTATTGTTCAAATAACACTGTTCGAAGACGATAGATAATCTAATATAAATAAACGAATAAGATTTTCGAGTTTAGTTTCAATGTCATCAAATCCAATTAAACTTGAATTACAAAACTTGAACTTGAGTACAATTGTACTTTCTAATGTATTTCTAAATAATTATTTATTCAAGTAATGATAATTCGAAAACTATTCGATATTATTAAATGCTGAATTGTTATTCCAACACATCGAACATCATAAGATCAATATTGATTAATGAAAATCGTATATCAATAAATTCCGTTATATTTGTCTATTCTATGCTGTCAGTAAAATTTATTTCGAATATATATTGATGCCATATTCTTGATTGGATAATAAATCATAAAAATCATTACTTCTACATGATTAAAAATCGTATTAATTTGCATTATTTTTCAGATCATTAATTTTTTTAATATTTTTATAAATAAAGTACAGATGACGAGAAGTTTGTTCATCCTCTTCTAAAAGATTATTCGTAAGTTTTAATTTGTCTCGAAAAATGTGAGAGTACAGTTTTGTATACAGGTAGTCTTCTCTTCTCATTCTTCATTATTTCTTTTCAATAGTTTGCACGTTCGAACAACATATATGTAATCCGTATGTTCTTTTTATTTTATTTTTATTGTTTGATTGATCTTATTCAGAGACGATGTCTCGATTGATTAGTTTTGATGTAATACCTATGACATGAGTTATTATAACCATTGAAAAGGATTGTTGTTGTATATTCATTATTTTTTTTGATTCATTTGTTTTCTACTTAGTTATGTAAGCTTGATTAATCGAAGATTTAAATTTACACCTGAATACTTTTCTTTCGTACATAATCTACAAAATTAATATTCGTCTATTTCATCACCCATTTTTTCTTATGTAAATTACCAGTTGCGTCGATAAAAGTTTTTTTTTTTCTCATTGAAGAGTAAAGATTTTTTTTTTTGAATTGGATTGATTTTACAAACGATATAGGAATACAAAAAAAAGTGTATATATTTGCGTCAGTTGATCAGGTTTTTCTCTCTTTCTCTCTTTTTCGATCATCCATTGTTTGCCAACTAAATATTAGTTTTATGCTTGCATTTTACGAGAACTAGTAAACCTGAGGTGAGTAATAGATGTGTAAGAAACAAAATTTTTTTTCTGTTCTTCCTTTTTTTTTTCTTTTTATGATGTTTTGTTGTTAGAGATGCGTCATTCACGGATGTATAAATGCTGGGTAACTGACACTGAATCATATCAAATATTAGTTTTTACATTTAAGATTATTTGTTATTTTTGACTTAGTAATAAAATGTCGAAATTAATGTTAAGTCCAAATTATTGTAGCTGTACTGGTAAGATATTTCTTTATTTAATTTTGATGAATTATTGAAATTTATAATTATACATAGTTCATCGAGCTCGAAATTTATTAGATAAAAGTAAAAATGGTATTGTACAATAAAAATCTTTTTGGCATTCAAAAAAAATTGTAAATCTTTTGTTTTTTTTCTTTTTAATATAAATAGGACTCAATCCTTTTTGTACGATTTCTATGGGAAAAGAAAAGTTTGTTACTGTTGTACGTGAAAAAACTTGTTCGCCCGATTGGCAGGAACAATGTGATATGTAAGAAAAGAAAATTAAAAAAAAAAAAAAAAAAACGAAATTTCTTTTTCTTCTTAAATAAATATTCTAGGCCGATTATTGATGATGCAAGAATAAAATTAACTATATATCATAAAAATAAAAATTCTTTGTCAAATGGAGATTTTATTGGTCGTACTTATGTTTCTTTACGTGATTTAGATGATTATGATCGTGTTCATTCAAAGTAAAACATAGATCTATTTTTTTTTTTATTTTTTTTTTTGAATCTTTTATCTATTTAGTTGGTATAAATTAACGGATAAAGACGGAAAACTTGATAAAGATCGTGGAGAAATAGAAGTATCATTACAATTCTATTCGCAGAATAATACAACTGGAAGTGTATTGGATTTAGCAACGAAAAAAAAACATTTGTCACTTAGAGACATTAGACATTCGATAAGTAAGTAAATCATACATTCATTTAAACAAGAGCATGACTTACTTAATTTTAGGTGGAAAGTTAAAGACAGCATCAAAACATGGTAAGCACGATCAACATGGAAATGAAAATCAGGTATTATGACATAATTAAGTCTTATGTTTTTATTAAGTAAATTCGTTATTGTTTCAGTTAGCTGATCAGCGTCGCCATTTGAGTAGTGACAATGGTAGTGTTAATAATTTACGCCGTCCTGATGATTCTACATCTGACGTACGTATATGAAATATTTATTCATTAATTAATTGATGTCTGCTAATTCTCGTCCTCATTTTTGTTTACTGAAAATGTTTACAGCGAACGTTTTCAATGTTCTACTTTTTACCAGATGTAGCATTAAAAGCATTGCCATATTCAATGAGTACTTTCTCTAATTGCGTATTCATGATAGAAGTCATTAGAATAATTATTTTCTTGATCTTGAGAAATAATAGACTTGACCTATCTTAATATCTTTTCTAATATATATTTGATTATAAAATTTTTCTAGTCAACATCATTTATTGGTTCACATACATCCTTGAATAGTCTGCCATACAATGATCCAAAACAACAAAGAAAGGTATGTAAAATGAAATTATTCTATTCAAGTGTTCATTTTTCAGACATTGTCCTTGAGATACATAAGTATATAGTTTTTTAAACCTTTCTATAACATATTAAAAGAATTGTAACAAATGTATGTATGTGTGAGTGAATTTTCTCGAACAAGAAATTTTCTTTCTTGTTTAAATCCAGAGAATTGAAATTAAACAAAATCCTATTTTTAAACAGAAATCACGTGCTCCGAGTAGTGGTATTGGTTCAACAGTAGGTAGTGAAACACCACAATCGTCACGTCGTTCAGTAACGTCAGATTATGAAACATCATCAATACTCGATTCAGCATCGATGTATGGTGGTGAGGAAAGTTCAATACCATCACCCTCTATTCGTTCGCAAATTCAAGAACAACAACAACAACAAGAAGTTTTTGTTAATGATCATGTATTATCATCAAATTCTCTAAATAAAAACAAAACAAAAGAATCATTTCCATTATTAAATGTATCAACAATAATCACAAAAAAATCTTCAAATTCATCTTCATTACCAATATCCAAAGATAATAATAAAAATATTACAATCACAAATGATGATATTGAAGCAGCATTTGATTCTATTGATGATAATAGAACGTCAATGAATAAATCGAAAGATCATGAAATAACATCAATACCAAATTCATTTTTTGGTCTATCAACAATAAAAGAAAATCTTGATGCAGATGAAAATATTTTCAGTTCAACTTCATCAAAACATCCAAATGATGAAGATATTGATTTTGGTAATTATTTTAATCAAATTAATCAACCAAATGAAAATAAAAAAACTAAAAAATCCATTTTGAATATTTCACAATCAAAATCAACTCTTCATTCGAAAGAACAACAACATTCTATATATTCACAATCTGATGATATTCGAACACCATCTGCATCTATCTCTGTAAAACTTAATACTACTTCAAGTTCTTCTACTACTCTTTCCGCAAAAAAACAATTTAATGATATAAATGATTCAACCGATGAAGATGTCGATGAAGTTTTAGGAACAATCGAGGTAAATACATCCGGAAAATGCACGCACACATACATACACATACACACACACACACATTTATTTCCTCTCTTTTCTTCACAAACAAAAAAAAAGAAGAATTTAAACTTTTCATCTATTGCACGTTGCATTTATTTTTGGATATGTATGTGTGCAGTGTATTTTCCGACTAGAAATTTTTCATATGTAAAAAAAGACAGCTAATTTAATTTAGCGTATATCCAGTATGCGTTCTTCTGTGAGACGTAGAATTCAACCTCGAGATGATATTATGCTACAATCATTTTCTGAGGTAATATTCGAGTTTTATCTTTTAGAGAAGAATATTTCTTTAATATTCAAATCAATAAGAATTTTTATGATTTATTTAGACTGATAATAAATGGTCTAGTGGTCATGATCATACACCACCAAATCGCAATACGAAAACAACGTTACCAGACATTCTTGGTCAACCATCAGTAAAAAGTATGAAGTTAAGTTTAATAATTTACATAGACTGAGTAAAAGAATATTTAGGTTCATCTCCGTATACAACCTCTTCTGGGTCTAAAAGACTTGTGAATAATGGTCTTAGTGTACTTGGTTATGAAAATGTGAAAAGTACTCCAGTTAATCCAAAAATTCGTCAAGAACTTGAATATCTTGATCGTGACGTACGAGATTGATTATTTCATTTTGTTTTTGAAATAATCCAAATCCTTTTTTTTTTCTTAGGACCTTCTTCATGTAATTGCTTATCAATCGGATTTAATAAAAAAACGTGAAATGCGTTTAAAAGATCTTGAATATTATACTGATGGTTTATTGGTTAAAATTGTTGAACAATGTCCAACTATACTTCAAGTAGGAGGTTCTTTAAAGAAATAATTATATATGCATTGCACACAATGATTAATGCTGCTGTTATTATATAATATCTAGACTGCACGTGCTGTCTGTGCTTTTTTTTTTTTTTTGATTTGCTCTTTTAATGTTGATCGTTGTTAAATTCGTATTTTACTTTAGAATGGATCTATCAAGTTCAAAAGAAAACCATAATAGACAAATATTTGTAAGAGCTTCATCAGGATATGATCTTGTGTTTTCACTCTAGGCTTCTTTTGTTTGTTTGAATAATCTGTGAAAAAGATATCAAGGCTTGTTTATATTCGGATATGCCGGTGTCTCCTTTTCATTGTATGTAGTTAGTCCACTATTAAACTAATAATTCTTTTTTCAAAATGTATATTCTTTGTAATTCGAATAGAAAATTTCTTTAGTTCTACGTATGTGTGTTTATGCATAATTCTGTTCTAATAATGTTTTGTCCTTCTGTTCTTCTTGGAATGTTTTTTCTTGTTTTTGTTTTTTTTTTAATTGAGCATTCACATTAGAAGAAATAAAATTTTGGTGCAGCAAATAATTGCACTATGATTTTTTATTAATTAATAAAAGCATATCTTCTTCCTATAGAATGGTCTTAGTTGAAAACCTCGCATAATAGATGATTCATAATGAATCAGTCTAATGCTGGATGTTGATGCGTGGTTGAAGATGACGTTATATAACTCAATGAAATACTCATGGTGTTACTCTAACAGCTGGCTCTTACTCTCCAGAAGACTTTTGTTGTTTGCAATGGATCTGAAACGATATATGCATGTTAACAAACTGCTTGGTGACATGTTTATTCGCAAAAAACTAATACTCATGAAACGTATTTATACTATTAATTATAAAGAGTTTATTGCTAAAAGTAAGAGGAGTATGTGTCCATATGATTCAGTGTGACTAGAAGACTTCTACCTACGCTCATACTCTAGAAAAGAGACCAAGTATTGATTTATCCGCCCAATAAATACATCAATCATTTTGGATGCAGAACACTACCAAATAAAATGAAATTAGGAGCAATAAGAGAATAATAAAGACAGAATAAATATATAGTAACAAAAAAGAAAAATAAGAAACCTATCTATATTGCTTCTTCATGACAAACCTCTTAATGTTCTAGAAACGTTATGGTAAAATCAACTATGTCCTTCTTTCATCTATTCTTGCACTGTACATTCACAAATTATGTTTTTTTAAATTTTTCTTTGTAGTCTGAACAGTTCAGACTATAACAGCTATTATCATTCATTCGTCTCTCATAATGCGATCTATAGTCAATTTTCTTTTGTTTCATTTTATGCTGGTTGTTATATTCGAATGCATAAACATCTAATTCGAATAGAATCTATTAATAAAATAAAACCACCAGAGAAATAAGTTTTTGAATGAGTATTCATCGTACTTGCAACAACCTATTTCTTGAGCATGCAAAAACTATTCATAATCATATATTCACGTCTCAGTGAGGATGTAAGTGTGAGTGTTGATGCAGTTGATAGAGTCTGTTTGTTTTCGAAACGTGATATTTCGATTCGTGCGCATCTTTCATATACTCTTTTTTAATGAAATTCCGTAACAAAACTTACTTAAAGTACATTTTGCATGGTTTGTTACTAATTTTGGCAACTAAAACGATGTCTACAGATAGAGCTCAACAACTTCTACCAAACAGATCCGTTTGGAGAGCAGTTTGCTTTAATATTCATATTTATTTTCTAGAAATATTGTGTTACGGAATTTCATCAGTATCAATATCTTGCGGTATTTTTAAACTATTCAACGTTTTTCACTGTTTTTATTCATACGCATGTATATATATTTGGTTTCTTAACTTAACATTAAAGTGCCACCAATAGGTGTAATAGTACAGTCATTCTTGTCAGTTGAAGTCATCGATTTTGATGACTACATTCACGTAGCATTGAGCCATTCATGGACATAGTGACTAAAGGCTGGTCTTGAAGAGCACCTATTCTCATTTTCAGCATATTTGACCATCATTTGATACACATCTGCAACTGTCTTTTTGTTCTTTTCCAATTGTTTCATTAAGTCTTTCAATTTGGACACTAATCTATCATCGCCATAAGTTGAAAAATTCAATGTTTTGACAACATCAACGAGTACAGTTGCGGCACATACTTGTTGAAGAAACTTACACATAGAATCTCCACCGAACACACCACATCCCCAATTGCCAGTGACAATTATCTCATCTTTAGCCTTGAAAAAAGCAGCCCATGCTTTACCCAAATCGCGGTCGATATGACGCCGACTAAAATGATTTGACAAACAAGCATCCATAACAAGAATATCTTGAATGTGTGTTGGATTTTGATTTGGATAAGGACCAATGAATTGAAATGCTTCACCATAACCACGATAGTCAACAAATCGTTTACATCCACGAAGAATGACTATTTCATCGGATCTTAATGTATCACATACAAGAATAGCCAAAAATGCTTCAGGACAGCAGCTGACTAGAAAAAAAACAGAAACGGTTTTTGAAGAAAAGAGAAATTTCACGCAGCAGTAATTTACATAGAATTTCTTCTTGTGTGGCTGATGAAGTAATCGAATGAATGTGAATTTGTTTATTGGCAAAATCGACAAAGCCATTTGCTTCTTCAAATGATTCCATTCGTTCCGCAAAAACGTTTACTTTGGATTCTTGAATTGGAACTAATTGTTTTTTCCAATCTGGTAATTCTTCAGTATACAAATATCTTTCGATTGAAATCTCTCGATGATCATTGTTATTTTGTTGTTGTGACGAAAGATGGAAATATTCGATCAAACATCGTATTCGCTCAATAGCCACTCGATCAAATGGTATATGATATAGATCGATCAAATCAATACTTCCATATCCTTTGGTTGTATTAAGGAAAAAGGCATTGGCAAGAAGATAACGAGCTTGAGCAGCCGTATAAGTAACACGAGCAGTGACATTCACTTGAAGAGGTTTAATTGGATTCGATTGAGTATGGTCCGAAGCCCATTGAGCAATAATAGGAAGAAGATCATGATAGAAATCGTAGTTAAGTTGACGAATAACAATGTCCAGATTGGGACATGATCGGTACTTTTTGTCAATGAAGACCAGATCTGTAAGAGTTTGAAAAGTAACATTCTCTTTTGGAATAATAAATGTACGCTGTTTGGCAATATATGTTATCATCGACATGTTACTTCTACAAAATGAATAAATAGAGATGTATTAGCTATTTGAACTCAGTGATGCATGAAGAGAAAGAAAAAAAAATTTGGATAATAAACGTTGTAAACATGATATTATTAGAGCATATGTATAATATTTTTTGATTTACTCATATAATAGTAAGCAAGTAACCAAAACTCGATAGATTGTAAGTTTCTCTCTCAAGATGTAATTGTGAAACTACAGGATTTATTGCCATTGTAAATCTTTGTTTACAAATACATCTTGATTTTTTCAATTTAAATCGTAAGTTTTCTTCGTTCCTTGAAAGTACACTGCATAATTAAATTAGATACATCTGATGATCACTGTAGAAAAAAAAATTGTTTTATTTTTCATTCTCTTGCTTAATAGTTCAGTTTTAATCTCAAATATTTTACATTGATTTATTAATGAATCTAGATTATACAACTGTTTTCATAAAGCATTATGGTTTGATAAATCGTATGAGAGATACAGCTCTTTCTCGAACAATTTAATAATAATGACAGATTGGAATAGACTTTTGTATTTTTAATTTGAAATAGAATCGAGTTTGTTATAAAAAAAAACATAAGTTAAATTGAAAATACATAAGAAATTGTTCTTTTTTAAAGAGTGATAAGAGGTTTGGATGGAGGGTGATGGGTGTATTTGTAGTTCTCTCTTTATTCTCATTCTCCTTCATGAGTCCGTTTCTGTGCTTTTCCATGTAAGTAGAGAAAAAGAAAGAAGACATTCGATGTAATGCATCTGAACATATACGAGTCAAACTTGTATGTAAGTCTTATTGATGAGCTACTTTCTCCTTCAAAGGTACAGTGATTGATTGAATAACCAAAAAATTAGAAAGAAAGTCTAATATGTACACTAAACGACGAATAATCTCTCGAAAGAAGTAGAAAAATTGTGACGAAGTGTTATGTTTGTCTTGCTTTCAAAGCGAAAGAAATGAATGATGTTACTATTATCTCGTATTTGTCGAGAAATTAAGAGAGATTATACTAATAATGCATGCTACAATTCGATAGTCATAGCAGTTGACAAACAGAAAAAGATAGAGACAAGATCTCCAACCACACATCTAGAAGATCATAATTGACCGTAAAATTGAGAATTTTATACAAATTTCTCTTGAGTTTTTCAATCATTGTTCCTTATCTGCTCTTCCATCTTTGTTCAAGGAGCAATGCATATTTATTATGCCAAAACTTTGATATTTTCTCAAGATCTGAGGAATAATTGAGAATCCATTTTACAGATTAAATAGAATATGGCATTGCGCCACAACAATTATTTTGGACATAGTTCGGCTAGGTCGATTGTTTCGCATATTAAAATAAGAAAATATGTCTAGAAGGGCTCAAGCATATACAATAATGATATGCACATTGACAGTCATATTGAAAGCAATAGATTCTACTATTGAATTCTAGTGGCATTTTGGCTTCAAGAAAATGTTATCCTCCAAGAAAAACGATCGATGAATATATAATTCAGATGCGCTCTAAAACAAGGAAATGTTTGTTTTTGACAGAAATGAAACTCTTTTAGAGTTAGAAAGCTGTATATATTCATTCAATAAATTGTTGTTTTTTGTCTTTGCTGTTTGTTGTCAGTAGACTTGATAAAAAAAAAGCATTATCTTATCGCTTTCAGCAGAGAGACATACTAAGTTATTATTATGAAGGCCAGAAAAAATATTCTCTCCAGTAAGATAAAAAGTTTTATTGTTCTTCAGTGAAATCTAAAATCGAACAATATTTTCATTGTAAGTACCAACATTGAGCTATTATCGTTTACTATCCATTATTTTTACGGGATAAGTTTTTTTGAGAAAATATTTCATCCTTTCTAGAAGTGATATTTTTTTCTATCGCAGCTTCACATGCCTTCTTCAACAACAACTGAAAGATGCATGTGATAGAAAAGAAAAGTTCTTAACTGTTCTACGTAAAGGGCAAATATTCTTTTTCTTACGATATATCACCAACGTAATACAAATGACTAAACAGCTTAATCAGCGTAATCCCTTCTAGAATAGAATGGCAAACACGACAGAATCATTCTAACTGTGATCAAGGAGCCTCAATATGTCTAAAGCAGTTTTTCGTGAATTCAAAAACTTACAGGCTGAAAATATCTCTTACTATTAGAAATCATGACAGACATGTCGGCATTTTTCTTTCTTTTTTTCCGATCCCGAAATTTAAACTTTAAAATTCAACGTTTAAATAATAAATTCATATATACTTCAGCAGTCATTACCAATTATCTTTAACAATATTACGTAGTATATTTCATAAGTTAAATCCTTTTCTTTTCTTCAAAAGTCGATAGATCAAGATATATTGACTCTCTCTTGTTCGAATCATTGATTTAGAAAAGATAATATGTTGCACCAGATAAAACACTCAATTACTGTTTCAGAAAAGTTTCTGGAACGAGTAAATGTTCTTTAAAGTAGACTCTGTTTTTTAATAAAGATGTATGCAAAGGAAAAAACAAGTAGATTACTAACTTATAAGCGACTTACAATTTTGCCAAACCAAAAACATATCTAAGAAAACAGGCACTCTTCTTTAGATGTCTTCTAACAACATGCAAGCTGTCATATTTAAAGGTGTACGAAAAATTGCTGTCGAAAATCGTCCCATTCCAACTTGTCATAATTCAACGGATGTGGTCATCAAAGTACACGTAACTGCCTTATGTGGCTCGGATTTGCACATCTATCGCGGACATGAATCTAGTGAAACAGACATCATCATGGTTAGTAAGATTTTCTATTTTCAATTCAGACCAATGCACTTTTTACATGAACAGGGTCATGAATTTGTTGGAGAAATCATTGATGTCGGGCCGGATGTAAAAAATTTCAAGAAAGGTGACAAAATCATTGTGCCATTTTCTACATCATGCGGCCATTGCTTCTACTGTACAAAGGCACTTACTTCGCGATGTGAAAAATCCCAAGTATTTGGAACACATTTGCTGGATGGTGGTCAAGCAGAATATGTACGAATTCCTTTTGCTGGTAAGGATTTCCTTCAATGCAATACGGTTTGTATGGTTATTTAGAGAACAAACTCATAAACTTAGCTAAGTAATCGACTGTTCGGACTATAATTCTAATAAAAGCACTTGGCAGCTGCAACATATTCTATTGTATAAAGACTTAAGAAAACTTGATCGGAAAATATCTCACCAAAATTGTTTAACCATTTTTTATGTCCACTTGCAGCCGTGGACCGTGCTAAAGATTTTTGATAGTGATGTATAGATTAATTCAGGTTTGCTTGTGGATTTCTCGGTTAGAAGAATCTGGAATTCTAGCTGATATTGTACAATGTTTCTAGAAAATTATTCTTTTCTTAGATACTACTGGATTTTTGGTTCCAAAGGAAATCCCTGATGACCTTGCGTTTCTTATGGCTGATATATTTCCTACTGGCTATTTTGCTGCGAAGAATGCGTGGACATTGCTTAGCGACCCAGAACGTCAAGATCCAAATCTAATTGTCGTTGTCATCGGGTGTGGACCTGTCGGTTTGTGTGCTATCACTGCGGCTTGCGAGCGATTTCCAATCGTATATGCAATAGATAGTGTTGAAGAACGTCTCGGTAAGTCTTGCCTATTTGTTAATATCTACAAAAATCTTGAAGATTATGTTGACTCGTTGATAATAGAAGAAGCCAAGAAACATGGTGCTATTCCTATCAATCTCAATAATGATCCTGTAAGTGCAATCAAGAAGGTAACCGAAGGTCGAGGAGCAGATGCTATTTTGGAAGTGGTCGGGCATGCTGATGCTTTGCAATTGGCCTACGATCTTATTCGTCCGTGGGGTGTTATCGCATCTGTTGGTGTGCAGCAAGATGCTTTTCCGTTCAATGGACCTCAAGCTTATGACAAAAATGTACGCATGCAATTTGGGCGATGTCCAGTTCGAGCTTTGTTTCCCGAAGCGCTACGACTTTTTTCAGAAAAGCAAGATCAATTCAAAACTTTTGTATCTCATCGTATGAGTTTGTCGGACGCTGCCAAAGCTTACGAATTGTTTGACAAGCGATTAGCGCGAAAAGTTATTTTTGATTTACGAACATAAACAGTTAAAATTGCTTATAATAACCTATTTAGAGAAAATAAAATATATCAAATCATTTTCGTAAGATGACAGTTCAGTAAAAGTAATCTGTCATCGGCATAGTAGAAGGGACATCGAACGAATTATTCCACAGCAATTTTGTGGTTTTCTAAGCGAAAGTGGACAAAATTTGGACTGAATATGATTATCTTTTATCGAAGATCCTTGTCAACGCTTTGAAGAATACACTACAGAACTAGACGAAAATTAAATCTTCCTTCTAATCTAACTCGCTTAGAACATCTTCTCGAATAGAAAACAGCGTGTGATTCGAAATTCACAAGCCCACATTCACATCCTACTAATCTTTAGTTTTTCATTGTAACAGTTACAATATTAAAGAGTAACTTGTTTTTGTGTTGATTCAAATACATTCGTTTTATTCTTCCGTACGAAAAATCATTTATAGTAATACTTCATATTTTCTTCATACATGTTACATTTGTAATTTCTTACTGATCAAAACCATACCTTCATTATTTTTGTTGGTAACACATTTCAATAGTATCAGTTGTTCTCTTTTTTTTATTGTCAAACAGGCGCAATGAAACTCCAATGATAACAACTTAATCATTGTGACAGAACTACTACGCAGTTTTATAATTATTTAAAGATGAAAAAATAAAACCAAAGAGAAAAAATTCTCATGTTCTTATCTATTTACCAACGACAAAAATGCTTGCGCACTGTATTTTATTATATGAAATATAGAGCTTACGCATTAATATATATGTAGTATAAAAACAGACGTTGATAATAGAAAGAGAAAATGAAAACCGAAGATGAAAATTGTTGAAAAACAGATTGAAGTGTTTTAAATACCTTTTTGAATAAGATTTTCTGATATTCTATTCTTGTATATCAACAATTTGTATCTTCGATTTAAATTTCTTTCAACGTACCAACTCTATTTTTTACATCAAAAATACGATTTGCAAGTATTTTGTCATTAGTGATATACATGATTGTACATATCAATATATGAGTGTATCTCAATCGTTCTAGGGTAATATCACTTGATCTTTGACTTCTTCAATTACATTTCAACATTCCTATGAAAATAATAAATTCGTTAATAATCTCTCTGTATCAACTTTTTCCAGTTAATTTTGGTATATTTGAAAATCTTCAATTTTAGCATTTGGATTCTTTTTCAGCCATTGAATTTGTTTTTCAACATGAGATTCAATCGTTATCTTTGTCTTGATGATAACATTGTGAGAGGTATTTTCATATCAGCTAATTGTCTCTTTAGTAAATCGACATATCTTTAAGAAAAATATAATAAAAGCAATACAGTTTTGAACTCGACCAAAAGAACACTTACACCGTTAGGATATCATCAATATCAAGGTACAATGTAACAATAATTTGAGGTACATTTTTAGGTGCTTGTAGAATACTAGTTAAATAAAAATTTTCCAAAAAGTGATTGTCCGTTGTCATCGGTCGCTCACCTTCGAAAATTTCAATGATTACAGTATCCTGGCCGCGTTGACTGGAGTGATTGAAAAATTTAGTTAAGAAATTTGTAAGAATATCAGAAGACTGTGAAAGAAGATCTCTTTCCCACAACAAGGCCCTGAATGAGATGAGACGATTTCAATCCGTTCCATCAGAAGAATTAAGTTTTGAAATATCCCATGCAATTTCTCTTCATTTTTTTGTTCATGAAAACATGCGAAATTCTCTCTCAAGATGTATGAACTCAAAGCATTTGATAGATACAATAGATAGTAGAATTTAATAAACTCTGACCATTTACGTCTTTCATGAATAGAAATACATAATTTCATTTCATGCAAAACCTTACAATGTTTTCATAGAAATTTACATAGTGAAATAAAACGCTGATTTTATGGACTGCTACGTGCTTCAAGCTTGTTTTAATTTCTTTTGTACTCTTTCACCATAATTGTGAATGATTTGAAAATATTGTGACGTTCATAAGGAACCTTCACTAACTCTATTTCAAAAAAATTCTTTTCATAAGTTTTAGTTTAGAGAAAACCAATTGATAGATAGACTATTTCGATGGATTCTACTAAATTTAACAAGTACAAAATTTATCACAGTCCATGCAGATCCGAAGGAATCTACCGGATTGTATAAGAGTATGAAAGGATCTTCAGTAACCCTTACTATTCTGGAGAAACTAAGTAAACTTACATCAGCAGCAAAGAATTCATCTATGGACAATACGCGAAATATACAGTATTACTAATTACTTCTTAATGCTTTAAGACAGCGTTGAAATCTTTTAAAAAAATAGTGGATCATGAATCTTAATGGAGCTCAGTGGATTCAAACGAATCTCAATGAATTTCAATGTATACGCATCGAATTCATTGCATTTCAACAAGGTTCTAATACTCCAGCTTCACAATTTTGTTTTTGAAGAGAAAAGTAGAATTTATGTGAGATATAACGACCTCTCAGATATTGGATGTTCGTACAATTTAAGTAAATCAACTGAAATTCAGTGTTTGAAGCTTCCGAAGTAGGATTGTGTGTCACAGTGTTTCGAGCAACCCTCATTGTAGAATGTCTTGAACTTCTTCGAATTTAATCTTAATTGCTGTTGGATTTCCAATTTCTGGATGGTAATGTATCAGACATCGGCACAGTTTGGTTCCTATCTTATCAAACAGATCTCGGTTACCCTTTGATTCTGCTTTCAATCCTTATCGGTTCGGTTCTGAGCTCAATTCATGCAATTTAGAATAACAGTTCGATATATAATTCAAGAAAAATGAATTAAAAATATTTTATAAATAGAAATAAAATTGTTGATACTGGTTACGTTTTAGGAAGGTTCTGTTAATCATGTTATATAAATTATTATTATTATTTACAAATCATCAAAGATATAAAATATCTATGTATACATATACATATATAATAAAATCAGATACGATATATTCGTATATAAGATTTAATATACAATTATAAAATGTACAAATAACAAGAAAATATTAACATG